GTATATAAAGATGTTTAAGGGGACCCCACACCCAGAGATTCCCAGCCACTTGAAAAGGTGCTGAGGTTGTTTAACGTTTTTACACCTCAGGTCTCTTGTCTGTAAAACAGGAATGATAATAACACAGGAACGTTGTAACGATTACATGTTAGGTACCTTGACAGTACCTAGCCCAGTGTGGGCTCTCCGTTTTTGCTACTAGGATTATTATTACAGCTGGACACCTTATCAGGACTCAGAAATCTAGAGATACAGATGCAAACACAAATACACTCAGACCCAGCACAATCAGATTCACAGGCACACACATACCCTGAATCTGACCACAGACGTAGGTGCTCATCAGAGAGAAGCTGTGTCAAACACTCCATTGATGGACAGTGTGGTAGAGCTCACATAGTTTGGCCTTGGTCCAATTAGGCCTGGTTCATTTCAGCCAGGTTGCAGCAAAGAAAGTAAAACTGCTCTGCAAATTCAGATGAGCAGAATTTTGAGATGCCATGTGGAGAGATGCCATGGAGAGAGGGAGGGGACTGAGCCTAAGTTTGAAGCCTATTTTTCAGGAGGTCAGATAGTCACTTTTAAGCCTATTTTTAAAGAGGTCAGATAGTCGCTTTCAAGCTGCCTAATGGCCAGACCTATGGTATAGCCAGGGCCCACTCCACCCAATACAACTTTAGTAAAAAGCATGCTGTCCTGAGTTTAGAGATGGTCAAAGATGGTGCATTTGCTCATTTCCACATATGAGCAAATGTGCTATCAGTCATGCTCAGAGGCAATAGGCAAGAGATGAGGAATTCAGTGGGATCAGGAAAGTGGAGCATGCACCAGAAAGCAAAGGGCCCTGAAGCACTCCAGGATTGTCACGAGATGGGGATCGGAGCTATAAAAATGTTTGGAGGACGCAGGGCTATCCTCTGACATCCAACCTTATAATCCAACTTCTGGGTTATAAAAAGAGCAGAAACATGAGCACATATATCCAGCCCTCCTTGAAGCATTATGCCCACCTGCTAAGGGAGGCTGAAGGACAGGTTGGGGGATGCTGTGGATTTGGCCAGAGAGGGCTTTGTGGAAAGTGGATGTGGGGTAGAAAAAAATGCGGTGTTTGCATCTGGTCAACCTGAAAGTGATGAGGGTTATACCTTGGGGGTGACCCTCTAGGAGCTTTCTCTGCAATTCATCAAGAGATTTTCTGTGATCCCACACACTAGGAGCTTTCTCTGCAATTCCTCAAGAGATTTTCTGTGATTCTGTTTAAGAGGAGGCTGTGAGTGACCCTCAAACAATGAGGAGCTATCATCTTTCCTTCCAGGATGAAGCTGCCACATAGCTCTGTGATTAACACAAACTGACTCTGGATGTCAGGCGAGATTAAAGGAGGGATCAGACGCTTTTGAAGAGAAGGTGGCCATCTGGATGGTGCAGGTGCAAAGTGGTGGAGGCTGAAAGGTGGCAGATGGCTTGGTTCTGTGAAGGCAAATTAGGGAATACAGAAGATGACAGATGGGCAGGTGTTGGGTCTTTGTGAAAAGGATTTGCCCAGGTGAAACAAATATTTTTTTTCTATTTAAATTTAGGTGAAGCAGAAGGATTTCATCACTATTTATTAACTGGCTTTCAAACTTTGCCTACAAACAAAGTGGAAATCTCTTTATAGCAGATTAATTTGGGAAACAACTCAATTAAAAAAGAGAGGCAAGGTTGACCTACCATCTCTTATTTGCATTTCCAAAAGGTAAAACAGTTCTGAAAATTAAGTTTTTAAGAAACGGATTTGACAGCATAATCTGACTTCAGTTGACCTCTTTGTCATCTTTATTCCATGTAGTGTGAACATTTGATGCAGAAATGCTGGTGCATTTGACTACTGAGTACTGCCCAGACCCCACTGGGGTTTTACATAATATGGGTAATACGCTATATATTACCTTTCTAAAGTCCAAAAAGTTCTAGATTTCGAAACACACCTGGTCTCCGGGGTTTGGGCATAGATTCCACCTACCTCTGAGGACAGCTGAGAATGTATGCTCAGCAGGCTGCCTGGTGCTGGCCTCAGCACGGATGCTCAGGTGTGAGCAAGTGGAAGCGGCTCCAAGGGAATGTTACAGCTCTTTGTATGGGTACATTTGTGGGCGAGGGGAGCAGTGTGTAAATGCTCCACTAGACTTGGGGATGTGAAATTAACAATGTGGAAGAGAAGCTCTTAGGAAAGGCACCCTCTTGAGTGAAATGATAATTCACTTCGAGATGGTGCCAATAATTAAAACATTTTTATGGCATTTTACGAAACATCAATTAGGTTCACATGCAAAGCTACTGACCCTACTTGTAACACACATTTCAGAAATGTTGCTGTCCCGTGACCTGCCTTTCTTATCTCCATTCAGGTGGGTCCCCCATCCCTAGCCCTGCTTATGGCCTCCTCAAGAGGGCCAGCAAGGAGGACAGCTGAAGTGGAAGGGCAGGGAGCCAGGAGGATCACTATAAATAGAGTCCACCTTCTCCATTCTTCTCACTGAGCCACTTCTGAGCTTTCCAAAACAACTGCAGCAGCAGCTGCTGCTGCTTCAACAGCCACAGAAGCATTGGTGTCACCTGAGGACACAGCCTCAGGTAAGAGAAGGGGCCTGGCTGCAGAGGGGCAGAGTCAGAGGGGCTGTGTTGGTGCTGAGCTTCAGGGCAGCCTTATGAGAAAGTAAATAAATAAATACCCACAGAGGACTCATAATAAAAGAGAAAATGTAACAATTTCTTGGAAATTTTTTTAAAAAAACACAGCTTTATTCTAAAAGGAAATGTCTCACATGGACCTTATGCAGAGAAGCCTAAGCGACTTGCAATTTTAACAATGGTTTTGTCATAGATGCAAAGGTAATGTTTTGATAATTTTTTTTGTTAATAAAAGAGCTTAATAGAAGACCTTAAATGAGGCTCTGGACCAGTGATGCTGACAGGGCCACCATTTCTATATACTCTCTATGACAGAGGATGCAAGAGCAGAACGTGCTAGGGTCTCCTGCACAGGGCTCATGGAGAGATGCTGATGAGGAGAGACTTGTAGGTAGGAGAAGATAAGGTTCTGGGTGGGGAACCTGGAGCCCTCAGGGAACCAGGAGCACTGGAAGGAATCTCCATAGCCACCCTCTGTCTGTACTGCATCAGAGGAAGATTGCTACCCATGATGGATGAGCTGGGGTGGGAAGTAGAGCTCTTCCTCACTGGAAGTGTTTAAGCAGAGGCTGGCAACTCTTTGACAGAAACACCGCAGAAAGAATCCATGAATCAGATGGGGGATGAAAATATGTTGCTGCAAAAGTTATTTTCATCAGGAAAGACACAGGAGGGAGTGTTTCCAAATCTCAGGGTGGAGGTGGGCAACAAATTACTACTGTCTTTGCAGCCACTGGTATGCTCCTCCCCAAATTTCAGACAGGGCACCAATGTAGCTGGTGGTCAAGCATCACGTCCCTCAGGCTATTGGGGAGGAGGAGTTGAAGACCTCTGAGCTGATGCTCTCACCTGGGGTACTTGGAGCAACAAGTAATACCTGGTTAACTGTAATGGACTAGAGAAATCCTCATTGAGAGCTTCTTAAGAGTATTTTAGCCCAGAAGGACAAGCTGAGCTCACATTTGACAGAAGGCAAGCTTTCCAAGGGTTGGCTGTTTTTCCCCATGCAAGCAGGACCCCACACCCAGTGTTCCCCTTGCCTGGCTGCTTCCGGTTTGTAGGTGATGGAATATAAAAGATGAGGTGTCAGCAAGTATTTAACACCAGGACAGATGTGGAACTACCTAGATAATGTGTATCTCCCATTGCCTGCCTCCATGTTTCTGTCCAATGGAGCTTTCTGCCAAGTTAGAAATATTCTATGTTGTCCAGTTTGATCGCTGCGAGCCACATGTGGCTATTGGGCAATTGTAATGTAGCATAAACACATAAATACATTTTAAACTTAATTTAATTTTCATCAATTTAAATTTAAATATCCACTTGTAGCTAATAACTATTGTATTGGACAGTGCAGTGCTGGAACATTCATTCTGTGATAGCAGGAATTGCATTTTTAAAAAGTCTTTTTATCTCTGGCTCCTCATATAGTGCCCATGAGTAGATATTTGATAAATAAACATCAAAAGAAGATGAGGATGTTCTGGGAGGTTTTTTGAGAGGGCATGGTTAAAACCTGAAGGCAAAAGGGCTGTTTTTAGTAGATTAATGAAGACTTCGAATCACCAGAGTGTTGGTTGGTTTGTCTGCAGTTTTGTTCTTCTTTTTTTTTTTTTTTTTTTGAGATGGAGTTTCGCTCTTGTTGCCCAGGCTGGAGTGCAATGGAGCGATCTCGGCTCACCACAACCTCCGCCTCCTGGGTTCAGGCAATTCTCCTGCCTCAGCCTCCGGGATTACAGGCACGCACCACCATGCCCAGCTAATGTTTTGTATTTTTAGTAAAGACGGGGTTTCACCATGTTGACCAGGATGGTCTCGATCTCTTGACCTTGTGATCCACCCGCCTCGGCCTCCCAAAGTGCTGGGATTACAGGCTTGAGCCACCGCGCCCGGCCATGTTCTTCTTAATGATCTAGGGCTTTCCTGCCATTTTAACCATAGCTTGTTGCATTTTGACAAATGTACACAAATGTAGGTATAGAATATGACCATCAAGATACAGGACATTTTCATCACCATGAAAAGTTCCCTTGTGTCCAGGGTTGGTTTCAAAGGTGTGCAAAACCCGTGCGGTCACACAAGGGCATGTGCTCAGAAAGGCCCCATGCTTGGTTTCCTGTTCTGCTGTTGCTGTCTGGAAATTCTTAATAATTTTTTTAACAAGGGGCCCTCCATTTTCATTTTGCATCATGCCCTGCAAATTGCGTGGCTGGTATTGCCTGTATCCCTTTACAGTTGATCCCCTCAAACCATCCCAGCCTTAGGCAAGCACTGATTGCTTTTGTCACTACAGGTTAAATTTGTCTTTTTAAAATTTTAATTTATTTTTAAAGACAGCGTCTTGCTCTGTCACCCAGACTGGAGTGCAGTGGTACAATCATGGCTCACTGCAGTCTTGAACTCCTGGGCTCACGTGATCCTCTTGCCTCAGCCTCCTGGGTAGCTGGGACTACAGTGTGCACTACCACGTCTGGCTATTTTAATTTTTTTTTTTTTTTTTTTTTTTTTGTAGTTAGCAAAGTTTGTTCCTTTTTATTGTTGTATAGTATTCTATTATGTGGATACATCATGATCAGTTTATTCATTCATTTGTGACGGACATTTGGGTTGTTTACAGTAGTTATCTATTATAAACTAAGCTGTTAAAAGCTTTTGTTTATAAGTCTTTGCACAGACAATGTTTTCATTTCTCTTGGGCAAACACCTGGGGATGGAATTGCTGACAGTAGGATAACATGTTTTCAACTTTTCAGAAGCTGCCAAATTATTTTCCAACATTTTTGTACCACTTAATATTCCTACCAGCAATGTATGAGAGTTACAGTTGCCTTACATTTTTGTCAGCACATTGTATTGTACTCTTAAATTTTAGCCATTCTAATGGCTAAGCTGTATATCTTACTATGGTTTTACTTTGTGTTTTCCTGTGACTGAAGATTTTGAGCATCATTTTGTGTATCTTCTTTTGTGATGTCTGCCGGAACCTTTTGCCCTTGTTTGTTTGTTTTATTATTGAGTTCTTTATATATGTTGGATAGAAGTTCTCTGTTAGATTTTGTGTGTGTGTGTGTGTGTGTGTGTGTGTGTGTGTGTGTGTGTGTGTATTTTAACCTCATACATTTTCTTCTACTCTGTGGCTTGACTTGTCTTTTTTTTCTTCCATTCTGTGGCACGATCACAGCTCACTGCAGCCTTGACCTCCTGGTCTCAAGTGATCCTCCTGCCTTGGCCTCCCAAGTAGCTGGGACCACAGATGTGTGCCGCCACACCTGGCTAGTGTATTTTTATTTTTTGTAGAGATGAAGTGTCACTATGTTTTCCAGGCTGGTCTTGCACTCCTGGACTTAAGTGTTTCCCCCACCCCAGCCTGCCAACATGCTGGGACTGAAGGCAAGAGTCACTGCTCCTGGCCAGCCTTGTCATTTTTTAATGATATCTTTCAAAAATAGATATATTTTTAACTGTGATGAAATTCAATTTAATATTTTGTGTTTTATGGTTTTGCTTTTTGGTGTCCTATCTAAGAAATTTTGCCTACCCTAAGGTCACAAAAATGTGCTCCTAAGTTTTCTTTTAGAAGTTTTATAGTTTGAGGCCGGGCGCGGTGGCTCACGCCTGTAATCCCAGCACTTTGGGAGGCCCAGGCGGGTGGATCACGAGGTCAAGAGATCGAGACCATCCTGGTCAACATGGTGAAACCCCGTCTCTACTAAAACTACAAAAAATTAGCTGGGCATGGTGGCGCGTGCCTGTAATCCCAGCTACTCAGGAGGCTGAGGCAGGAGAATTGCCTGAACCTAGGAGGCGGAGGTTTGTGGTGAGCCGAGATCGCGCCATTGCACTCCATCCAGCCTGGGTAAAAAGAGTGAAACTCTGTCTCAAAAAAAAAAAAAAAAAAAGAAGTTTTATAGTTTGTTTTTTATCTTTAGGTCTATGATATATTTTGAGTTTTTATGTATGGCATGAGATGAGAGTAAAGGATCATTTTTTCCCATACTTACATTCAATTATTCTAGCACCGCTGGAAAAACTTCCCTTCCTCTGTGGAATTACCTTTGCATTTTCATTAAAAAATAATGGATCACATATGTCTGGCTCCATTTCTGGACTCTGTTTCATTGATCTATATGTTTATCATGTTAATACAACCTTATCTTAATAACTATGGAATTATAAGAAGTCTTGAAATCAGATAGGACAAGTATCCCAAATTTGTTGTTTATAAAAATTGTTTTAGCTATTCTAGGTTCTTTGCAGCTTTATATAAATTTTAGAATCAACTTGTCAAGATTGAATTATATCTATAGATCAGTTTGCGGAGAACTGATTTTTAAGAATATTGTCTTCCAATTCATGTCTCTCTATTTATTTAGATCTTTGTTTTCTCTCAGCAATGTTTCACAGTTTTCAGTGCACAAGTATTGTATATTTTTTCTGTTACGTTATCCGTAAATATACAATTTTTAATGGTATTGTGAATGGTATCATAAAATTTCTTTTCCATTGTTCTTGACAGTATGTAGAAATACATTTATTTTTGTATGTTGATCTAGTATTCTGTGATCTAAAACTTATTTCTAGTAGCATTTTTGTAGGCTCAAGATTTTCTATGTACATAATCATGTCACATGAGAATAAAGATAGTTTTACTTCTTATTTTCAAATCTACATGACTTTTATTTCTTACTTTTCTATTTCACTGGCTAGAATCTCCTGTATAATATTGGTTAGAATTGGTAAGAACAGATATTCTTGCTTTGTCCATGATTTTAGATTAGAACTCATTCCGTCTTTTACCACTGAGTGTAAAGCTAGTTTAGGTTTGTCATAGATGCCATTCATCAGTTGATAAAATTCTCCCCTGCTCCTAGTTTGTTGAGAATTTTTACGGTGAATAGATGTGGAATTTTGTCAAATGGTTTTGTTTGTGTTTTTCACTTTTTTTTTTTTAAATCTCTTGAGATGATCATGTAGTTGTCCTGTTTTATTCTGTTAACATGGTGAGTTGTGCTGATGAAGTTTTAAATGTTAAATAATCTTTTCATTCCTGGATAAACTCTATTTGTTCATATTATGTTATTCCTTTAAAAAACCTTGAGGCGGCTCATGTGGAGGCAGCTATCTTGAGGTGGGGGAGTGCTGAGCTGTGTGTCATGCCCTGCGCTGCCCAGACTACTGAACAATACAGTCAGGATGGCTAAAGGTGACCCCAGGAAACCAAAGGGCAAGAAGTCTGCTCATGGCTTGTTTGTGCAGATGTGCAGAGAAGAACCTAAGGAGAAAACCCCAGAGGTCCCTGTCAATTTTGCAGAATTTTCCAGGAAGTGCTCTGAGAGGTGGAAGACAATGTCTGGGAAAGAGAAGTCTAAATCTGATTAAATGGCAAATGTGGATAAAGTACACTATGATCAGGAAATGAAGGATTACGGACCAGCTAAGGAGGCATTAGGATCCCTTTTCTTGCTTCCCTTAACTGGTCTCTAATTCTTCGTTTGGATCCCACCATCTGGATTCTTCCTGTTCTGTTCCGAATTCCGCCCCAAGATCAAATCCAAAAACCCTGTCATCTCTATTGAACATGTGGCAAAAGGCAGCGTGAGATGTGGATAAACATGTGACAGTGAAAAGCAGCCTTACGTTACCAAGGCAGCAAAGCTGAAGGAGAAGTATAAGAAGGATGTTACTGATTAAAAGAAAGTTTGATGGTGCAAAGGGTCATACTAGAGTTGCCTGGAAAAAGGTGGAAGGGGAAGACAGATGGCAAATAGGAAGAAGAGGAGGAGCATGAATTTTAAAAACTGTTTATCTGTCTCCTTGTGAATACCTTCGAGTAGGGGAGCACATTAATTAACGCATCTTTTATTTGAGAAGTGTCTGTTGCTCTCATTAGGGCTTAATTACAAAATTTGATCACGATCAGATTGTAGTCATTCAACACGCTCTAGAAATTGTCAGTGGTTTACATGAAATGGCCACTGGTGTCCAGAGCACCTTGAAACTGTGTCAACATTGAACGTTATTTCCAAACATTATTAAGATGAGAAAGTCTTGTGTTCACCTCACTCTGTGCACTTTGTTGTTGGTGTGACAAGGCATTTAAAGATGTTTCTGCCACTTTTTTTTTTAACTTGTAAGGTGGTGTTAACATATAGCTAGATATCCTGAGTTATCAACTGTATGTATCTCTAGTTTGTAAAAAGAACTAAACAATTGAGACAAACTCTTGACGCTCCTTGCTTGGCATTGAGGCTGCAGGGGAAGATGCCTTTTGGAGGGGTCGTAGCTCATGCACTGTGAGGCTGGACCTGGTGACTCTGCAATAGACATCCATTTAACTTCAGGTTGTCATGTTTCTGTATATAACGACATAGCATTCTGCCTCCATTCTTAGCTGTAGACTAAGGGGTTCAGCTGGCATGAGAAGTGTTTTTTTTTTGTTTGTTTATTTGTTGTAGTTAAGGCAATAGTTTTTAAACTGTTTTTTAAACAAACTCTAGAACTCTTCATTGTCAGCAAAGTGAAGAGCCACTACACCAATGAAAGTTCCAAAACCTTCTGTACTTAAACACGATTTGCAACATTTTTTTGTATGTTAAGAATGTTGAAATGCTTTTGAAGTTAAATAAACAGTATTACAATTTTAAAAATAAAATAAATATTGGTATACTATTTGCTAATATTTTGTTAGAGATTTTTATGTTATATTCACGAGGGATATTAGTCTTTTGTTTTCTTTTCTTATATCTTGGTCTGGTTTTGGTAACAGGATAACATTAGCTTTGTTAAACAAATTGGGAAATGTTACCTCCTCTATTTTATGAAAAGATTTATGTGAAATTTGTATTATTTCTTTCTGAAATGTTGTAAGGAATTCATCAGTGATGCCATCTAGAACTGGAGGCTTCTTTACGGGAAGAGGTTTATTTATAAATTCAATTTCTTTAATAAGTGTATGGCACTTTAGATTTTTAACTGCTTTCCAGTTTTAGCAAATCATATTTTCAAATAATTTATCTATTTTATCTAAGTTGTCAAATTTATTGGCATAAAGTTCTTCTTAATATTCTCTTTTACCTTTTTAATATCTGCAGGGTCTGAAAGGATATGCTATCTTTCATTCTTGATATCAGTTACTTGTGTTTTCTCTCTTTTCTTCCTGATCAATCTAGCTAATGGTTTATCAATTTTTTTTAAACCCTAGAGTTAAAATTATATTTTAAACTCTGATATATATATTAAAAAACCCTAGAGTTAAAAAAGTTGATATCCTTACTGTTTTGGTCCATTTTCACTGGTTTCCACTCTGATCTTATCTCCTTCCTTCTATTTTGGACTTAATTTGATCTTTATTTTTTAGCTTCTTAAGGTGGAAACTCAGATAATTGATTTTAGAACTTTTTTCTTTTATAATATAAACATTTAAAGCTATTAATTTTTCCCTATGTATTGCTCTAGCTGCCTTGCACAAATCTTGCTATGCTGTGTTGTTCATTTTCATCTACTTCAAAATATTTCCTTCATGATTTCTTCTTTGTCCCATACTGTACAGGGAAGCTCTCCAACTGAGTTTCTTTCTGCTCTCACACCACACCACCACAACAATCAACAACAGAAGAAGATTTCTTGACTAAGCGTATGGGGTTTTCCCACACACTAAGCCACAGACACCAGCTGCGTGTCCAGTTCAATTCCAACACAATCTACCTGGAGACAGTGTCAGAGTCCACGGGTTGGGTGCACAGTTCCCAGGACTGCCCCCAACATCTCCTGTTGCAGTCACAAATCTGGGCCTCCACAACTTCTGACTGATTGGCTTCAAGTTGGGGTTCCCATTACCCCCTCTTTGAGTTTGATTAATTTCCTGGAATGGCTCGCAGAACTCAAGGAAACACTTACATTATTGGTTTATTATAAAGAATATTACAAAAGATGCAAACGAAAAGAAATGTAGGGCAAGGTATAGGGGAAGGAGTGTGGAGCTTACATGCCCTCCCTGTAGCAACCTCCACATGATCAGCTATCTGGAAACTCTCTCAACCCTATCCTCTTGAGTTTTTATGGAGGCTTTATTATATAGGCATGATTGATTAAATCACTGGCAATTGGTAATCAGCTTGACCTGCAGCCCCTTTCCCTTTCCTGGAGGTTGGGGGGTAAGGCTGAGAGTCCCAACTCTCTAATCCCACCTTCATCTTTCAAGTGACCAGCCCCACCCTTGAACCTATCAGACAAAACACACACAAAAGACAGCACTTTGGAGATCCCAAGGATTTTAGGAGTCATAAGCCAGGAACCAGGGATGAAAATCAAAACATACATATGTACTCTGTGTAAGCATCCCTTTAATCATCTTGGTTTCCATTGCTACCACAGACCATCTCTTGGTTTCAACCACAGATCCCTTACATCAAAAGAATATACAGAATCGGTCCAAGAAGCAGCTTCTCTGCTCCTTCTGGAATCTCTCCCTGGGTTCAGCCCGCCTGCCTCCACTCCTGTCTCCACCATGTCCAACAGGGTGACCCAGAAGTCCTACAGGGTGTCCACCTCTGGCCCCGGGCCTTCAGCAGCCGCTCCTTCACGAGTGGGCCCAGTGCCCGCTCGAGCTCCTTGAGCTTCTCCCGAGTGAGCAGCACTGGGTTCCGCGGTGGCCTGGGTGCAGGCTATGCTGGGGCCAGCGGCATAGGCATGTGAGGCATCACCGCTGTCACCGCTGTCACCATCAACCAGAGCCTGCTGAACCCCATTAAGCTGGACATGGACCCCAACATCCAGGCCGTGCATACCCAGGAGAAGGAGCAGATCAAGACCCTCAACAACAAGTTTGCTTCCTTCATCAACAAGGTGCGGTTCCTGGAGCAGCAGAATCAGATGCTGGAGACCAAGTGGAGCCTCCTGCAGCAGCAGAACACGGCTCGGAGCAACATGGACAACATGTTTGAGAGCTACATCAACAGCCTGAGGCGGCAGCTGGAGACTCTGGGCCAGGAGAAGCTGAAGCTGGAGGCAGAGCTTGGCAACAGGCAGGGGCTGGTGGAGGACTTCAAGAACAAGTATGAGGAAGAAATCAATAAGCGTACAGAGATGCAGAATGAATTTGTCCTCATCAAGAAGGATGTGGATGAAGCTTACATGAACAAGGTAGAGCTGGAGTCTCTCCTGGAAGGACTGACTGACGAGATCAACTTCCTCAGGCAGCTGTATGAAGAGGAGATCCGGGAGCTGCAGTCCCAGATCTCCGACACGTCTATGGTGCTGTCCATGGACAACAGCCGCTCCCTGGACATGGACAGCCTCATCGTTGAGGTCAAGGCGCAGTACGAGGAGATCGCTAATCGCAGCAGGGCTGAGGCGGAGAGCGTATACCAGATCAAGCAGAGGAGCTGCAGAAGCTGGCTGGGAAGCACGGGGGGATGACCTGCGGGGTACGAAGGCTGAGATCTCCGAGATGAACTGGAACATCAGCCGGCTCCAGGCCGAGATTGAGGGCCTCAAAGGCCAGAGGACTTCCCTGGAGGCCACCATTTTAGATGCTGAGCATCGCGGGGAGCAGGCACTCAAGGATGCTCGTGCCAAGCAGCAGCAGCTGGAGGAAGCCCTGCAGAAGGCCAAGCAGGACACGGCACGGCAGCTGCGTGACTACCAGGAGCTGATGAACGTCAAACTGGCCCTGGACTTCGAGATCGCCACCTACTGCAAGCTACTGGAGGGCGAGGAGAGCCGGCTGGAGTCTGGGATGCAGAACATGAGTATCCACACGAAGACCACCAGCGGCTATGCAGGTGGTCTGAGCTCTGCCTGTGGGGGCCTCACAAGCCCTGGCCTCAGCTACGGCCTGGGCTCCAGCTTTGGCTCTGGCGGGGGCTCCAGCATCATCAGCCACACCAGCTCCACCAAGGCTGTGGTTGTGAAGAAGATTGAGACCCGCGATGGGAGGCTGGTGTCCGAGTCCTCTGACGTCCTGCCCAAGTGAACAGGTGCAACAGCCCCTCCCAGCCTGCCCCTCCTGAGGCTGCCCCAGAGCCCGGGAGGGAGGTTGCTGTACACGGGAGCACAGGGAATGGGAGACCCATCCGACGCTCAGCCCTAGCCCTCAGCCCACCCGCGGGGAGTTTACTGCCTGGGGACCCCCCTTGCCCATGCCTCCAGCTGCAAAACAATTCAATTGGCTTTTTTTTTTTTTTTTTTTTTTTTCCAAAAAAAAATCTCCAACTACTTAGGGGGGAGGGGGGGGGGGGGGGGAAGAAAAAAAGAATATACAGAATCATTAATAATTAGTCCAGTTCATTATATTGTACAAATGTCCCAGGGTGAGGCCGTTCAGGTTTGCAGTCTTCCTTTCAATCTTGTCAGGTTCCCAAAACAGGAGTTGTCCCAACAAATACTCAGCTTCACCCTTTCAGGCATGTGGGATCATTGAGCTAAGAGACAGTATCATCTATGGCTCTGAGACTCTTGAGTTGTTCACATAATATTGAACTTCCCTCAATTAATAACCAATTTATTTATTCCTTCATACTCATCTACTGTTTCTTCTGCTGTCCATTAATATCCACATTTTTCACCTTTGGGCGGGACATTAGAACTGCCACTGTGCTGATCTAGATTGCAGGCAGCAGCACTAGTCTGGCGAGTGCCTCCCATTCAGTCTGTTCCCATTCACATAGGGTAGGGTTATATAGATTCCAAACTAGTGAGCCATTTTCACACCGGGCATTATAGCCATAGGTATCCTTGGCTCCAGTTTTGCCAGAGGGTGAAGGCACAAGCCACCTGCATCAGGCACTTAGGAATTCTGAGAGGAGAAAAAAATTTTTCTTGAGGTGATTTGGGGAAGAGAAAAATTTTTATAGCTGTTATACCAATATGCTCCTCCCCTGGCAAGAGATACATAGTCTTACCAGTGTCCTCCCCGCCTCCTCTTCCCCAGATCAACCAGAAAAACCAAGAAAAAATCTAAAGAGGATACTGTAGTCCCACTCGTGTTGAGTGTGAGCACACAGTCGTGAAGGTGTGTCAGCCAGCCCTTCAAGCTTTTGTTTCTCCCTGCTTTAGGCAACCAATGTTTCAACTGCCTGTTCTCCTCTAACAAACTATTACTTGAGGGAGGCTGTCTCTCATTGTTGGACATCATGGGCTGTGCATTGTGTTCCTTGGTCTGAAGAAATGACAGGCATCCAAATTTATGCAATAACTTCTGTTCTGTTTTTTTTTTTTTTTTAATGGGACACTGAGCATTTTCATTCCCCACCAGATATGCAAAAGCCCAGTCCAGAGTCAGTGTCTGCTCTTGTCAAGACTCATTTGTAGCCTCCAGGGTTATCAGCATGGGTCTCCCCTGCCAGCTGTGTTCATGACCTTTTCACCAGGGAATCTACCGCATAGCCATCAGCCGTCTCTGTCACCCTTCATGACAAACCGAACAGTTCTTACTGGCATTATGTGCCTGAGAGGGTGCAAAAGAAACTGTCTTGACCCAACCCATGTCTCCACTGCTGCAGTACCCCCATCCTGTATCAGTTCGTTTCATGGACCCATGTGGCCACCTCCAGGGAGCACAAGGGGATATCTGCTTGGGCCTGGCAATTGTACTGGTTTCCATTTAGCATGTCCAATTAATATTGTTTGAAGGACAGGTTTACATGCCTTCTATTTTACAGTACAAGGTAGAGGAAACCAGTGTATGTGTGTGTGTGTGTGTGTGTGTGTGTGTGTGTGTGTGTGTGTGTGAGAGATAACAACACACATAGGTTATTAACAAATTTTTTAAAAATTTCCAAATATTTGGGAATTTTATTTTTAAATATCTTTTTGTTCTTGATTTCTAACGTAACTATGAGTGGGCAGAGAATATACAATTCAATCTTAGTTTATTGAGATTGATTTTATGGCCCAGAATATAATCTATGTTGGCAAATGTTTTATGTGCACTTGAGAAAAATGTGCGTGCTGCTGTTTGGGGTGGGGTGTTCTATAAATGCCAGTGAGATCAAGTTGGTTGATAGTATTTTTCAAATCTTCTACATACCAGCCAGTTTTCTCTCTACTCATTAATCAGAGAGAATTATTGAGATATCTAAATATAATTATAGATAAAGTATATTTCTCTTTTCAGTTATCTTTTGTTCAACGTATCCTGAAGTTCATTTGTTAACCCTAGATGTTATGTATCTAGAATTGTTATGTTCTCTTGACAAATTCACCCTTTTATTGTTATGAAATGTTTCTTTATATCTTTGGTAATATTCTTTGATCTGAAGTCTACTTCATCTAATATTAATGTAGCTACCCTAGCTGTCTTCTAGTTAGTGCTCACATGGTATATCTTTTTCTATAAATTTTTTATATTTAATTTTCCTGTGTCTATAATCAAAGTGGGGCTCCTATAGACAGCATATATTAAAATCTTCCTTAAAATCTGCTTGACATTTTTTTTTGAGTTCCATAGGATTCACAATGTATCTTTAACTTATCACACTCTACCCTTAAATACTATAATATCACTTCAGATATAATACAGAAACTTACAACAATATTCTTTAATTCTTCCATACTTTGTACTGTTATTATACATTTTACTTCTGTTATAAATCCCACAACATGTTATTATTTTTCTTTGAATAACCAGTTATGTTTTAAATAAATTTTAAAATAAAATCTTTCATATTTGCCCACTTATTTATTATTTCTGGTGTTTTAAATTCCTTTGTATAGATACAAGTTTCCATCAGTATGATTTTTCTTCCACCTGAAAAACATCCATTTATATTTATTAAAAATTTCTGTTTATAGTTAAAAAGTGTAAATAGAAAGTAAAAGCAACTTTTGTTGTAGAACAGATTTGTTGACAATGAATTCTCTCAGCTGATGTTTGTCTAAAAAGATCTTTATTTCATCTTTGGTTTTGAAAGATATTTTTACTTCCTGTAGAACTGTAGATTAGTTTGTTTT